AAACTGAAAGGTGTTTTGACATTAAAACTTCTTTTGTGATGGTTTAGTGCATTTGTCGTTCTACCGGTTGTTGCTGTTAGAAACATGGAAATAAGTTAATATATAAACATACGTATCTACTCTTCTTGTTTATGTCCAAACAAAATTATCTGAGAACGATGTTAAGTAATCACAAGATGTTTTGGTGGAAATGTTAGTAGATCAAGAGAGAGGGGGAGGGAACTGGAGAAAGGTACGTGAAATGCAAGAACGCGCACTCCTGTGTGAAAGTTGACCCACAAGTGTGGAAACAGCTCGAGGAAGAAGTTAAATCAAGGAGCGTTAGGTTGTGAGTGGTCTGCGTGACTCGGATAAGGAGAAACAAGAAATGAAGATGAAATTTTGATGTCATTCAAGGTCAATATTAAGCGGTTGTGACGATGGTGTTACACTCAGGGTCGCTAAATTCTTGGACTTTGTCCGTCGTCTGGAGGATGGAAATGTTCGGTTTCCTAAACGCCGTGTTCTTTCTGAATGCCAGATGATGGACAGACTCCAAGAATTTAGTGATCCCGAGGTCATTCAGAGTGTTCACATGGAGAACCGCTAAACAATGACGAGGTAAATTGAAGGGAAGTAATTTTACTGATAGCTCAGGTGCTAGTTGCCAGCGTCTTACTATGAAGGATCAGATTTGCATTCAAGGCAGCCTGAGTTGGACGTAGTGGCAGTGGGACGGGTTTCTCTGTGAATTTTTCCCTCTTTTCCTCCACCACTGCTCCATATTCACCCGTGTATCATCTGGGGGATGGACAGTAGAGGCCTCAGTTATACGGCTACGTTTTCGTTCCAGAGATGCCAACCGGCATCCATAAGGCTCATGGACAATGAGCAGTTCAAGTTTGGACAGTCACTGCGACCCGAAGCGGGGTACTTTGGCCTCTTACTGGATGGCCTGAAGAAGATGTACATTACCAAGATAAAGGGATTTGACGTGGACCAGATGTGTGTCACCACTTTAGTGTTTGAAGGTACGTATGAGAGATTTTATTTCAAGCCTAAATTAAATTTGAAAGATTTTTGTGAAGATGTTGATGTTGGTAAAAACTGTGCGGTGTTGTTATATCCTCGTGATTTACGTCTGTCTCATAAGTTTTCATAGCTGCCATGTTGGCGTTACTTACGGTTTGTCATTTATTATAAGCAGCACATTTTGTACAGGTGACCCTAATGACGTTGAAGTTCAAGAAAAGAAGATTTACGGAATTGCGGCTAAGTATGGTGGAATTCCAGCCGGAGAAGTAAATGGAGAACGGGGCTACATGCTTACTTTTGTGATTGCTTACATTCGTGTAAGTAAATTTCTGCTCTAACTTCAGTGTTGCTTAGTGTTTGGCTTGTATTTAAGTGTTTTAAAGAAATCGGTCGCGGATCGCGATTTCTTCCTTTGCCTTTCTTGAACATTTAAATAAGTTCCGGTTACTGCTTATTCAGACAAATAATTTGTTATGTGCCAGAGGCGGAACGAACGCGTTTAAAGTTAAGGGATAAGATGATCGTGTCTGTGGTGTGCGTTGTACACCCATCATATACTACATATATGCTGTTCATTAACTGTTAACACTTTGTTTAAAATGTTCCTGATACGATATCTTGTTGTCCCGTTTGCTCTAAAAATAAAGATGTTCACCTCCAGTGTGGAATTTGGCATTTTAAATAGTGGTAGCTTGTTTTACCATAAATAGTTCATCACATACGTCTCATTAGATATCGTTTTCCCCCCTAACAGGACCTGGCCTTGGAGTATAATATCGTTGCAGAATCATTCGAAACCTCCGTTTCATGGGATCGTACTCTGTCCTTGTGTAACAACGTTAAACGTCGGTTAACAAGTGAATGCAAAGGTAATTATTGTTGTTGTTATATTATCCACTGAATCAACCCTTTGTAGCCATTTTAATGACATCAATTCAAGGAATTGTTTTGTATGAGGAAACCAGATCTAAAATTTTGTTTATCGTTAGTAAATTTGTTTAGAAAATTTTGTTTGTTTGTGTTTACTGTGCTTATGCAGTCACTGTATTTGTAATGAGTCCAAACAGAATGTAGAGACTTGTTTGTGATCTGCCATCATACCGATTGATGACCTCAAGAGACAGCTTTTTGTCAATATAAACAAAAGGTATTTTGTGTAATTTTGGCATATTTATGTAGATTAAATGTAGTGGACTCCAGCATTTTACAGACAGAAAAGGCTTAAATTAATTCGTAGGTGCCTAAGTGAGAAACATTGCTTGACTTTGTGTGCTTTTTCCTCCATCCTCCGTCCCGTCTTTTTTTGTGCCCTCAACGTCTAGCAGTGTCTGGCGCAAAATGAGCAGATGTTTCTCTTTGTTTCCAGCTGCCGGCATCCAGCACCACCTGATCTCTTGTCGCGTCACTCAGACGTACGACGTGGGCAGTTGCGTGTATTTCTATTTTGGATTCAAGTGGAATGGCGTTGGCAACCCGCTCGATACTTATGAACGTCTGGAGCAGATAGCTCGAGATGAGATTTTGGCTTCGGGAGGTAGTCTCTCACACCATCACGGCGTTGGCAAATTGCGATCAAAATGGTTCCCGTCTCAGGTGTCAAAGCTAGGGGTCGACCTGTACCAAGCCACAAAAAGGCAGCTTGATCCTAGAAACATTTTTGCAAGTGGAAATATAAGTAAACTACATTCATGATTTTCCAGAGACGTAACTTACGACGGTACAGAATTTTTTGGCTAGTCATTAATTGAGAAGTAAAATGAAAATAAAAAATAGAAAGGCGTGAAATAACTGAACTGTGTTAATTGTAAAAAAACTCTTATTTTTGCATTTCATTTGTTTCTTTGTGAATCATGATGTATCATGTTATCATGTTGCTTTGCGTAGTTCAGGCAGGATTGATTGTGACAGGTAGAAAGGAATTAAGTAAGTGTTCAAAATGGCTGTCTTCTGAGATGTTCTCGTAGACACCGATCAATTTCTACCAGAGTACGTGGCGCGTCATCCCGGAAGACGGCCGTCACTGCGATGAGAACGCGAGGGCCCAGTCTTGTTGGTCTGCATGGTGCTGCCACCCAGTTTGAAGAATCTTAACTGCAATGTTGTTTAATGTCCGATGTTTTGAGTACGATTTTGACGCTTGTGGCAATATTTCTCAATTTTGAGAAAACATGTTTTAGTATTGAGAATTTGGTTGTTTGTTGGTTTTTTTTGTTTGTTTGTTTGTTTGTTTGCATGACACTCACGTGAGTTTAGATTTTCGCTGTACGATTATGTTCATTTAGGAAAGCGGTGAAAATGTAATACGCAGCAAAAGAGTTAAGGAACGAGGTGTGAGTGAATAGAAGGATGACGCTGCAGTCAGTTTCAGGGGTAACGGAGTGAGATTAGTCACTTCTGATTTTATAAATCACCTTTACGTAGCTGAAAGGAAAGAATTTTGATTGCTATAAGTACGTGATTTCAGGGTTGATGAAATATCAAGGTAAGTGTGCATTTAGGTTGTACGTTCTGAACGTCTGCTGCTTTGGAATGTGGGACGTGTCACGACTTGTCCGTCTAGAAGGAATGGAAGCTGACGGACTTCAATGGAGCATGTTAGCGCTTAGACAAGTGAGCAAGAACCAAGGTCGGACATGAAACGTTACTGAGAACGCTGGATTGTTGTAGACAAATTGCTTGTTGGGGAACCCAGTGCAGATGAACTTGATTGCTTTGTACTGTGCACATGTTCCACTAGCATCTGTGCAGTTTGTGCACGTTTTGTATCTCCACACCCAGATTGTGTTGCCGTGGCACGTAGCTAGCTGTGAGGACTGCGTATTCTGTACTGTGTTCATGGAAGCCATTGTAATATTTTGTGTTATTTTTTTAATGAAAGTCTTCTTTTAAAGTGCCTTATGTTTTAATTGCTTTAAATTTGTAACATGTGCAAAAGTTTTGGGTTATAGAGCTTTATAAGGGGCTAGTGTTCGTGTGTGATGGGTTTATGGCTTATTTTTAAGTCCAGTGTTTTATATGAAGTACCGTACAGAATGTGGTGCCATTATGTAATGGTTGTATCCTAAAATAATGGTGTTACTTGGTAATAATACAACATACTTGTGTGGTTCATGAGTGAAGCTTAACTAATTGATGTAATGATCATTTTCCCCCCACAGTTACGTGAATTATGGTGTGTAGGTTGGCGTAGCAGGTATGTATGCATGTGCGTTACTTTGTGTAGGTTGGCGTAGCAGGTATGTATGCTTGTGCGTCACTTTCTAGAGACATGATTTAATTCCTGGCCAGGTGTTGGCTATCCTGAGACATTGATGGTTTTTGCCTTTAAATAGGTCTTTGCGCCACTTCTCTCCTTCCCAGTTCATCATTCATGGAAATCAAATAATCTACCAACTTCTAAACTATATATATCATACTCTTGCATTTCTCATTTTCATGTTTTTATTCTGAAACAGTTAATCATTCACGTTCTTTCAAATAACTTTCTTTGTTGCTGTACGAAAGCCTTCACATTAATGTATTTTGGTTTCTGTTAATTTCATCATATATTTGTGGTTAAGCAGAGTGGTTTGGCCTAAGATCCGAAGACTTATTTTATTATCTGGGGGAAAAAACTATGTTGTATGGCTTTTTTAAGCTGCTAGTTTCCTATAACCTCTACTTCATTTTGTCAATCAGTTTTGCATTGTTCAAGAATAAAACATTTTTATTATGAATGTTCATAAACTGGGTAATAGGAGTGAACAGTTATACCAACCTCTAGTGTCTGCTTATTTGACGAATTAGTCTGGTTAACTGCAGTACATAAACGTGGACCTAATCTCTATATCACAATAATATATATACAACTTTATAAAGTTTATTCAAATTATAAGCAAGAGGAATCACCAGCGAAAGTGTAAACCTAACGTCTTAATATATGAAGAGAGAAAAAGTATTGCTATCGCACTTAACGAAGGCTGCGGAATTTCTATATTTCAGGTTACTCTTGTTGAGCAGTGACACCTGTGAATATTGTACAGTTGCATATAGTAGGCTGTGAATGAGCGAACAGTCGTTTGTTTCAAGGTAGTGTTTCCGTTCCCGTAATGGTGGTAACATTTGTACGTGAGGCTGTGGAGTTCGTGTGTATCGTGGAATGTGAATTGGTGTAAACTTCTGGACGATTTATTCTCTTCAAAATAGGAAGCTAGAAGTTGTCAACAAAGTTACCAGTCAAGTAATATCGTGTCGAAGAGCTCTTTAACCTGAAACCAACAGAATAGCCAAAGTGAGTACTTCGTTTGCATGCATGTAAACCTAAAACTACTGGAGTTGATGTGTCCATAACGATCAAAAGAGATGTAGCCTATGATCAAACTGTATTCGTACATGCCTGTCGTTGATTTCAGACGCGTTCAACAAGAAAATAATACGTTCGGTTTTGGTGTTTGTCACATCGAGGCTACCAGTACATAAACGGAACATATTAGATATGACTCAGACTGCACTACAAAATGTCTTTCTCCGTAAAATGTACTAAAGGAAGAAGATTACGTCACACATAATATTTACTTTATTAAAATTTAAAAATTTGTTAGGGCAACATGTTTCGATCCCATATGATCATCCATGATGGACGTCTTCGCTTGTTTGGTATGGAATTTCTTTGTCGTGCCATATGTGGAGTTGTTTCAGACGTTTCTCTTTTCCTTGAGTGTTCGTGCCAGTGCTTATAAGTTGCCATGGAATAGGAGGTGCGTTACTGCCTAAATATGCGTGAGTTATGTGGTTGTTTATTATGCAACTTCTATATTATTCTGTCTAAATAATTTCGTCCTGATGGTGAGAACTAAAATGTGCCCCATATTTATGAGGTGTTTGTGCAAGTCTTGCTAGCATCTCTCTCTCTCTGCGCCAGCTGCCCAGTTTGGGAAATGCAGCGTTGTGTTTTGCGTAGGCCTTGGTTGTTCCAGAAATAAAATACGAAGAGTTTTTAATCGCGTGTTTATCTCATCTTTAATTGATACGGTCGTAAAGCTTCGTGATGACAATTAGCACTGTCTTTAAGACGATTAGTTATTGGTCCCGAAACGGGCGTGGGTGCTTTTATCCACAACCTGACAAGGGAGGCTGAGCCAGGGGGCACGCTACCAGACGCATTCCGCCATCACGACATCCCTGGTTGAAACAAAGAAACTTATACGCGTTTCTAGACGACGATTACAAACTGTAAAATCCGTCGTCGTGTAATTCTCTCTATTCACCTATTTGTTCGTCTCTGTTTTGACCGTACTTAATTATAATTGCGTTATTAAATTGTTGAGAGTCGCGGAGTGAGGTGAGTGGTCGTCCCAGCGTGCACCGCGTGCAGTCTATTTGTTGTCGTGCTTGTGGTTCGTAATTGCGCTCGGGTTTATCATCATTAGACCCACACAGCTGGTCGCGCCACAGCGGGTAGTGTCACATTACCCTAACCCCAACCATTTCTCGCCTTAGAGACACCTGCGTGGTGTTTGCTGGCTTCTTTCAAGGGTTTTCTGGTCACTCCCACGCTCCGTCAGCGCTGTTAATCGCACAAAATTTCCATCTCAAAGATTAAATTCTAAATTATTTCTAAAATAAACACTTTTCAGCCTTTATTGATTAAAGTAACTCCCGCAGGTCCTAAACCAACAACCCCAAGGCCCACCTCCCTAAGATCCATCTTGATGTTATCCTCCCATCTCCTTCGTCTGACCAGTGGTCGTCTTCCAGAAGGATTCCATACCAAAATCTAATATACACCCCCCATGCATGCTACATGTTAAGCCCATCGGAGCCTCCTAGATCCCACGCTGCATAGGCGAACGCGTGTAGTTAAAACAGCGTCTTTAAAATTCCAAGGGCCACTGAGGAGGACATTTCGTGGTTTTCCGCAGTCCTCCTATGGGAGTGCCTTGTTAAAACGTACAGCGAGAACCTCAGAACTTACAATCTTGAAATGGTTATTAAAATAAGGTCAGAGGACGTGTGTGGGACTCGTGTGGCCTCGGGTAGGGTCCTTGAGACTGGGTGTCGTACATCAGTGGTTCTGAGACTTATTTTGCTCCCGGCGCGTGTAACTTCGATACGAAACGTCTGCTTCGGAAATCTCTGCTTCAGTTATCCACCCGCACGTGGCAGCCGTTCTTAAAGCACGCGGCTTCACCTGAATATGCTGCATTTTAAATAACTTATTAACAGCCAAAAAAATCAAACTGAGTTTTATTTATAAAGGAAACTGCGGGAAAAATTGCAAATCGAAGAACGTTTGAGGGCGTGTAGCACAGACGAGAGCGATGAGAAATTAATGCAGAATTTTAGAGATGGGTATTGGATTGAGCTGGCTCAGGGTAGGGACGCTGGAGGGATTACGTGCGTAACTGTGTGTTTGTACGTACGCGCGCTCATGCGCGAGCCCTTTTATTTTTGGGAAACTCCGTCTCTCACTTTCAGAGACGAACGTGAGAATTGTTTTTGACCTTGGAATCTTACGTCTCGCCGTTTGTGTTTCAGAGATCGTTTCACAATTTTCTAGCCACGTCCTCGCACACATTTTAGACTTTTTATTATTATTCGTAGGGGCAGTAAAGGCGACACTGATCCTCGATGTTACGCCGGACATTAAGCACTCGTCTTGTTCTTTTACCCCCCTCCCCCCCTTCCAGGTGCCCCCTTAAATCTCCTAATGACGGGCTAAGGCAGAGGACGCACGTCCCTCCCACACCGCATTGAATAATGCAGTTTGCTGTGCGGTGGATTGTTCTGGATTCAGCTTTTTTCTAATTTTATGCTCCGGTTAACTTTTGCTTTGTGGGCGCCGCGGGTTGGGGGGAGGGGAGGGGGGGGCAACGGGCGTGGAATATTTTATAGCTGCGTCGTATGGAGCGTGTGAGCTTTTTGTGGTAACAGTGAACGAAGGAGTTCGCCCTCTTCGAGAACAGACGTACTTGAGACTGTGACAGGTGAGTAACACGACAGTACTGTTAATTTCGCGTTGTTCCTTTACTCAGGATAATGCTGAGACACAACTGGTGTTGCCACATTACGGTAGTCATGAAGCTGACAGTCGCTCAGTCGTTAATTCGTGTTTGTGTAGAAAAGATCGTCAGACTGTGTAGCAACTAATGTAGGCCGATCGATTGATTAGATCGTGCCATAATTTAAGGAACTGATATATCGACATTTGCCTGAAAGGACTGAGGAAAACCATGAAAAATGTAGATCAGGATAGCCGGTTTCCGGGCCGAGATATGAACCCTGGACCTCCCGAATACGAAGCAAGGCCGCTAGCTGGACACACGGCCGCTTCTTTGAGTAACATCACGTCTTATTTTGGTTTCTTACGTGATCGGATTCCGTGGGCGATCGGTGGCCAAACAAATTTTAGTTGCGTGAGCAGGCTAGCTCAGTCTAATTGGCCTTTCTCGAGTCCAGGTTGGCCCCGGGACCATACCACAAACCCTCTTATAAGGGCGGCTATTTGCATGGGATAAGGCGACCGGAACGTAAAGCTAACCTAACCTCCGTCTTCTTGCGTGGTGCTTAAATCTTTTAAAGCCCAGTGGTAACTATATATACCACATGCTTTAATGACTAGTAAGTTTATTTAGAGATTATTTCGTAAAACAGCCTTAACCAACTAATCGTTGACATAGAGCCGATCTGTGTTTTCTTCGCGGTACGGACTGGTTACTTAGATGAGCTTCGGGGTTAAAAGAGTTGACAGTTTGTTTCTGAAACGTCCGCTGTAAGGCAAAAATGATGTCGGCTGTGTAGCCTCTACAAATATTCCTGTTTCATTAATTGAATTTATTAATCGTCTGTTAATACTACTTGTTACGATTACGTGCATTTATTAGGCTTTTGTTGTGATGTGTTACTTTAGAATGCACAGTAAAGATTCGCGTTATTTAAATTAATTACAATCTAAAATGTTGTTCTGATGTGACACTTGAGTCTTCATTTGCCTAAGTAGCGCATAGGAATCACATTAAGTGTGCACCTGAACATTGCTTCCAGTTTTCTTATCCGGATCTGAGATCTGTAAGTTACTTCGATTATGTGGATGTTACTGCGTATGAGAACTGAGTTGATCAGAACTTCTGGATGACTCAGGAATTCCTCAT